CCGCGTGAAGCTGCTGCGCCCGCCTGGCCATGCGGACTGCAGGAGGGCCTGGCGAGGATGCTGGGGCTGCGGGCTGTGCTCTTTCTGAGGTCCTAGCAATGGGGGTGCTATGAGCCTAGAGCTGGGAGCCATCCTTACTATCCCAGTAGAGCTGAGTGTCGAGGAGAGGAGAGGAGAGGAGAGGAGAGGAGAGGAAGGTTTCATGACATCGTGGGGGGAGGAAGGGGCAACAAGGAAACGGGAAGAGAAAGGAAAGAGCAGAGGAGCAGGGACCTCTCATTACAGCATCTGGACTCCTGGATCCAGCCATGCCTGCAGCATGCTTGCTGAATTGAGCCACTCGATTTTTTTTCCCTCTTCAGTTACTTTGAGTTGAATGTGTCACGTTTCGCAGAAGAGTCCAAACCAACACAGCAGGCAACCCTGAGGAGCCGCGTTGGACTGTCTGGCCCAGGCTGCCCCCGAAATGGGCTTGAGGGACGCCCCCCACACGGCAAGGGCGCAGACTCCAGAGCCCCACTGCCTGGGTTTGAATCGGCTCTACCGTGGCCAGCAGTGGCCTTAGGCCAGTGACTCCACGTGCCTGGGTCCCCAGCCTCTCACCCGTAAATGGGAGTGACGGTAGCCACTCCTGCTTCAGAGGGTGGCAGGCCTGACGTGTTTCAAGTGCACAGATGGGAGCCCGGCCAAGGCGAGGGCTCAGTAAGTGCCTGCTAACAGCGTCCGGCTCCCTCGCAGGTCAGTGAGCGCATCGCTGCCAGGATGCCCGCCGCGCAAGCAGGAAGCTCACGTCACCAACCCAGGCGGCCCACCGCCCGCAGCCTGGCATGCACACGCACACACACACACACACGCACACACGTGCACACACGCACGAGCACACACGCGCACACACACAGCTGCCTTTCCCCGTGTGAGCTCGTGTTCCAGCAGCTCTGCTCCTTCCCGGCCTCTGTCAGGACCGAGAGGCGATGGCTCGAAGCCTTTGCCCCGTTACGCCCTGAGCCATCCAGGGCCATCCCTGTGCCATCTTTGCCTGAAAGCTGAACACGGGGCCCCCACGCCTGACACAGTTAGAACCCAATTCTAGCTATGTGGGCCCGAGTGGAGACCGTCTGCCTTCCGCCGGACGGCATGTGAGAGTCCACACGTTGCCTCTGTGAGTCAGGGCCTGTGACCCTGCACAGTGACCCTGACCTGAACCGCGGGCCCAGAGGGAGGCGCATGCCGGAGGAGGATGGATTTCCTGGCCCGGGTCTGGGGGCTCCTACCCTGCCCTGCACCTGGCGACCCTCGTGAACGAGCGCACACGTGCGTGTGCAGCTCTGACACGCCAGCTGCCTCGTCTCTCTGCCAGTTTGGAGAGGGGACAACACCCCCCCACTCACGGGTTCCACCCCAGGTCTGCGGGGTTGATGTACAGGATGCCGGCTCTGGAGACCGTGGCCGGCGTGGCCGTCCTCAGGTGGCTGATCTCGAACACCAGCCTCATGGTGCGGTTCAGGGGGATCCGCTCGTTGCTGGCCAGCGTGAGGACCTAGCGAGGCAGAGGCCGTGGGCTCTCAGTGGCAAATGCGCCACCACCCGGAGGGTGCATCTCAGAACAAGGAGGGGGAAGCCGGGGATCCCTGCTCCCGTGCCCACCGCCCACTAGCTTCCCCTAACCCAGCATTTCTCCCCTGTTGCCCCGGGAGAGTACGAGAGGCTTCCCCACGTGGGTGTCGGGGTGTTGCTAGGACTTCACTATCAACCTAAATTTTCACTGACCACCCCCCAGCCCCGGGAATTCTGCAGTTCCCCCTCCACCCGACTGAGAATCATTTCCTTAAGCTGCTTCTAGAGAAGTTCCACGTTAGGCCAGTGTAACTGGACAACGGTGCTTTCTGTGTCTGCACCCTCCGCCCACACTGCTGCCCAAAAGTGTCTCAGATGGAGCTGCACGCGGAGCTGGGTCATGTGAGGAGCACGTCTTGTGATGAGGGACTTGCCCTGCTCGTAACCGTCTGCGGGGAGCTCCAGGAGGATCCCCTCCGCCCCCGAGTTCCGTCTGTGGCAGGTCCGTCTGCTGTGCATGGCGGGTGGTGATGTGGGGTATTTCCTGCGCCCCCCCCCCCCGTCACTGCGGCTCTGGGGGACTAGCTCCGAAACCCAGGAGCCCCTCAAACCTTGTTGTCATCCATGACGGTGTTGAGGGATTCAATCCACATCGGGTCGATGTCCCCATCCAGGACAATCCACTTGGGGCCGTCATGAGTGATGTTGGCCAGGTCCCGCATTATGGTCGAGAAAAGGCCTGTGAGCGAGCGGGCGGTGTGAGCAGGGCAGGTGTGGGCAGGGCAGGTGTGAGCAGGGCAGGTGTGAGCAGGGCAGGTGTGGGCAGGGCAGGTGTGAGCAGGACTGTGAGCAGGGCAGGTGTGGGCAGGGCTGGGGTGAGCAGGGCAGGTGTGAGCAGGGCAGGTGTGGGCAGGGCAGGTGTGGGCAGGGCTGGGGTGAGCAGGGCAGGTGTGAGCAGGGCAGGTGTGGGCAGGGCAGGTGTGGGCAGGGCTGGGGTGAGCAGGGCAGGTGTGAGCAGGGCAGGTGTGGGCAGGGCAGGTGTGGGCAGGGCTGGGGTGAGCAGGGCAGGTGTGAGCAGGGCAGGTGTGGGCAGGGCAGGTGTGGGCAGGGCTGGGGTGAGCAGGGCAGGTGTGAGCAGGGCAGGTGTGGGCAGGGCAGGTGTGGGCAGGGCTGGGGTGAGCAGGGCAGGTGTGAGCAGGGCAGGTGTGGGCAGGGCAGGTGTGGGCAGGGCTGGGGTGAGCAGGGCAGGTGTGAGCAGGGCAGGTGTGGGCAGGGCAGGTGTGGGCAGGGCTGGGGTGAGCAGGGCAGGTGTGAGCAGGGCAGGTGTGGGCAGGGCAGGTGTGGGCAGGGCTGGGGTGAGCAGGGCAGGTGTGAGCAGGGCAGGTGTGGGCAGGGCAGGTGTGGGCAGGGCTGGGGTGAGCAGGGCAGGTGTGAGCAGGGCAGGTGTGGGCAGGGCAGGTGTGGGCAGGGCTGGCGTGGGCAGGGGGGACTCGGGAGCAGAGGCCTCCCTGGGCTTCGTCTCGGAGGGAACCATGGAAACTGATGGGTGTAGGGCAGGTCCCCCCAACAAGCCAGGTGCCTGCTTGCCCAGGACCTCACGGCCTCTCCCTCCACCTGGCCCCCGCCCTGGCCCCCGCCTGTGTGCTCACTGCTCTTCACAGGGACCATCCCCAGGCACCACGAGCACGGGTGCCCCCAGACCTGCTTCCTCGGGGCCAGCCTGGCTCGGGCGACGCCCCAACACGTGCTCGCTGCACGGAGCTCGCTGAGAGCCTGGGACGCCCGCTGGTGGCCCCGCGCCCCGCAGCCCACCCTGGGCCGCCGGTCCCAGTACCGTCTTTCCATTCCCTGGTCGCCGGGTTGATGATGCCAAAGAGCTCGTCGCAGGTGACGGCCTTGGGGTCCAGGTCCACCGCAACCGGCTTCCTCTTCATGTTCTGGTAGGTCTTGTTGAGCGACTTGAGGACCTGGGCAAGGGGGGTCACTCAGCACGGGTCACTCAAGGCGGGCTGTAGGCGATGCCCTCAAAGGGGAGGGTCCCACGGGAACTCAGCACCCAGGCGCCCGGCCCTGGGTTTGTTTTGCTTTGGTGACACACGGGCGAGGTGGGTCTGCGTCCCCCCGATGAGGAGCCGGGTCCGGGGGCAGCAAACAAGCCACTGTCATTGTCTGCGGAAGGCACAGAAGTGCCGGCCTCGACCCCTCGCTGCGACCCAGGAAAAGCCACAGTAGCTTCCTGCTGATAAACGTAACCTATGCTCCCCGAAAAAATGTAAGGGACAGAAACAACTCCTAATTCTTCCAGCCAGAGGACAAGATAGCGCGAGGCTCCTTTATACGCATGTGCGTATATTCCCTGTCGGTAAACTGGGTTCAGAGCTCGCTGTGAGCGTCCCCACGTGGCCGTTAGTGCTGGGACGTGGTGTTCACCCCTCAGGCGCCCAGCTGAACGCGCTGCTTTAGAGGCTCCCGCGTTTGTCAGAGCCGGTGACTCGGCCGCCACCCTCTGCTCCCACCGCCCCAGGCAGCGCCTGCAGACCGCCGAGGGGGGCGGCCCCCGGGGAGGCAGGTGGCCCCGGAAGAAGGGCCCCATCGTGGGATCAGGGTCCAGTGGTCACTGCTTGCCCCCCCCTGCTCAGGACACACTCGGGTGGGGGTGGCCTCCGGGATGCCCAGGGTGGGGGCAGGTGAAAGGGGGCCGACCCTCCAGCAGCCTGCCCGCCCTGCAGGAACCCTGCAGGGCCCTTCTGTGGAGGTGGGTGGGTCCAGGCGCAACTCGAGGGCGACCTGCCTGGGACTTGCCGCTGCCCGCGTTCCCGATGACGAACACCGAGTGGCGCACTTGCAGCAGCTCCTCCAGCTGTACCACCTTCAGCACGAAGTTGTCCTCGGCCTGCAGCTTCAGCTCCACGATGCTCTGCTTGATGATCTGAGGGCACAGGATGGGGCGCTGGGCATGGGGCTGGGCACAGGTCGGGGTGCTGGGCACAGGACGAGGCACTGGGCATGGGCACTGGGCCCGGGCGTGGGGACCAGGCTGTGTTCTGGGTGGGGAAGCTTCTGCCCAGGGGAGAGACCATAGGGGCACAGTCGCCCTTGAGGGCAGATGTGTCTCCAGGTCCCACCACGACGGCCACCGAGACCTCCATGGGTTTGCCAGAGCCCCTTGGTTCCTCTCGAGACCCCAGCATTAAGGGAGGACTGGCCAGGGCTGGAGAGGCAGCCGCGTGTGTGTGACTATCGCGGACTGGAAGACGGGGCCACCCACCCCAACGTCGCACCTGCCACTGAGGTAACCCATCTGACACGCGGTGGAAAGAAATGCCCTGGGTGGGTGACAAGCCCTGACCACTGGGCTCCCAGGCTGGGCCAGAGGCTGGTAGGACCCACCTTCTCAAAATTCAGGTCCCGTTTCCGCGGCACGTCCAGGGCTGGGAAGAGGTCCCCGATCAGCCCCATGAACACCGGCAGGTCGTCGGTCACGATCTTGGGGATGTTGAAGTCCCTCAGGGCCCTCATGAGCACCTGGTCCTCTGCCCGGCTGGGGTCGCCCCTCTTCAGGGAGCCGGCCACCACCAGCACCGACTTGATGGCCCGCAAGCCCCAGTCGTAATGGTCCTGCGGGCGGAGGCCATGGGTGTGAGCGCGTCTCCCAGGCTGGCCGGCTGGCGGTGCCCACCCCCGAGGCGGGTCTGGGGTCGAGGAGGGTCAGGCGGAGGCGGGCCTGCTGCTGGGACACGTGGAGCCTTCACCAGGCCAGCCAGGGAGGCCCCCGGGCCCCTTTGGTGTTTGCCCCTCGAGCACCCTGGCTTGGCGGGCCCAGGGTGCCACCGGCTCTCACCTGCTTGGAGAGCAGCTCTTTGCACAGCGTGTAGAGCGTGATGAACTTCCTGGCCAGGAGGCGGGCCTCCAGGAAGCCCTCCGCCACCAGCATGATCTCGCATATCAGTTCGAAGTCGGGGACCACCATGGCGCAGGGCCTGGCGGGTCAGAGGCTCAGCCGTGGCTCCTCCCCCTCCTGCTCAGACCTACCTGCCCCTCCCCACCCAGGGGCACACCCACCTCCCGGGGGGCGGGTGGGGGGCACGGCATCCCTGGCCTGGGGCCTCTGCTCCCTCCCCACCTCCTCCGCCCTCCACACCAGGCGTCTCCAGGCCCTGCATTTCCTCTCCTCCACCTTCTCTGAGAGTCACCCCGAACCCTGACTTCCATCGTCTCTAGTGGGGACCCCTGACCTGGGAGACAGAGCAGGAGAAGCCGCCTGCTCTTTAGGGGGCCCTGGCCTGCTGGGTTCTGTCTGCCTCGGGAGCCCCGTCTGCACCCCACTTGCCCCTCCCGGCTCCACCCGCCTCCGCTCCTCTCCGGGCACCCCCCTCCCCGCCCTCCCGCCACGCACCTGAACAAGGCCTTCAGGTTCTCGGGCAGCTCCGTGCGCCCCGCGTAGCCGGGGTTCATGGTGATGAAGATGCCGACGCTGGGGATGAGTCCTATCATCTCCCCCAGGAAGTTGAAGGTCTTCTTCTTGGCCCGGATGGCATCTTGGACGCACTTGACCTAAGCGGCCGGGACGCAGGCCCGTCAGTGCGGGAAGGAGCGGCCAGAGGGTGCGGCGAGGGGTCGGCAGAGGGCCCCCGACACCGCCCGGCCTCTCTTTGTTCAAGTTAAACTTTAAATCTTGAGACAGCTGTAGTTTTAAGACAGAATGTGGGGAGACCCCCACGTGCCCCACCCAGCGACCCCAAGGTGACCCCTCACAGCTGGGGTGCTGCGCCGCGGACACCGCGCGGGCAGCCGGGACGCGGGGCGTCTGTCGCTGAGGGGACCCCGCAGGTCACCTCCACAGCCACACCTCCCCCCGCCCGCCCGTCTCTCCTTGACCTGCCCGGCCGTGTCCCTAACTGCCACCCCATGGACGTGACTAAGCGGGTCGCACAGCATGTCCCCAGAGGTGGGCTTTGTCACCAGCAAAATGCTGGGGGAGTCCCCAGGTTGCCGACGTGTCCCTGGCGTGTTCCTTGTCATTGCTGCATGAGTCCTGCTCCTGCGACGGCAGTGACAGTGACGGCAGTGACAGTGACGGCAGGGACAGTGACGGCAGGGACAGTGACACCAGTGACAGTGACGGCAGGGACAGCAGGGACAGTGACGGCAGGGACAGTGACACCAGTGACAGTGACGGCAGGGACAGCAGTGACAGTGACGGCAGTGACAGCAGTGACAGTGACGGCAGGGACAGCAGTGACAGTGACGGCAGTGACACCAGTGACAGTGACGGCAGGGACAGTGACGGCAGTGACAGCAGTGACAGTGACGGCAGTGACAGTGACAGCAGGGACAGTGACACCAGTGACAGTGACGGCAGGGACAGTGACGGCAGGGACAGTGACACCAGTGACAGTGACGGCAGGGACAGTGACGGCAGGGACAGTGACGGCAGGGACAGTGACGGCAGGGACAGTGACGGCAGGGACAGTGACGGCAGGGACAGTGACGGCAGGGACAGTGACGGCAGGGACAGTGACGGCAGGGACAGTGACGGCAGGGACAGTGACGGCAGGGACAGTGACGGCAGGGACAGTGACGGCAGGGACAGTGACGGCAGGGACAGTGACGGCAGGGACAGTGACGGCAGGGACAGTGACGGCAGGGACAGTGACGGCAGGGACAGTGACGGCAGGGACAGTGACGGCAGGGACAGTGACGGCAGGGACAGTGACGGCAGGGACAGTGACGGCAGGGACAGTGACGGCAGGGACAGTGACGGCAGGGACAGTGACGGCAGGGACAGTGACGGCAGGGACAGTGACGGCAGGGACAGTGACGGCAGTGACAGCAGGGACAGTGACGGCAGGGACAGCAGCGACCCGTCGTCGCCTGCGTCAGTGCTTGAGGAAGCCGAGCCCCCCCCAGGCGGCTGCAAGCCTCCCAGCCACGGCCTGAGGGCGCCCCGCGTTCGCAGTTAGCGCCGGTCAAGGGCCTGCGGGGACCCCTGAACCCCTGCGGCCTCGCCTCTGCGGGAAGCCTTTCCCCACCTTCTGCCCCAGTTCCGGCGCCTCGGTTCCAGGCCGCGCACTCTTGGCACCCGAGGCGGGCTCTACGCAAGGCTCCTGGGGCCTGGCTGGCGGGCGGGCAGTGCCCCCCCGGGCCGGGGCGCTGGCGGCCTCGCCTTCTCTCTTACTGCCTCGAGCCCAGGGGCTTGGGGGCAGCTCCACGCAGCGCAGGGCAACCGCAGCGCAGGCTGCCAGCTCCCTGCATTCACCCTAATCTCGCCGGCAAACCTGTGTCGTCGAACCCATTTTACGGATTAAGAAGTGGGGGCACGGACGTTGGAATCATCGGCAAGCACAGAACTGGGGGGTCAAATTAGTAAACTTGGGCTGGGCTTCACCCCAGGCTGTGGGTCTGAGTAACCGGCCCCCCTCTGCTCCTCCCGCTGCCCGGGACTGTCCAGCTCTGCCCGCAGCCTCGCCTCCCCCGTGGGCCACAGGTCGGGCTCCAGCCACCTCCCGTCTACCCGTCTGTCTGTCCTGGGGGGGTCTCAGCACCGCCAGCACCCCGGCTCCCGGAGCCCTTTGAAGCATCAGAGTTGATTCCGGACCCTGAGGTTGGCCTCAGCTTCCCTGAGAGAGCCCAGTGGTGCCCAGGATGGACCGAGGCATTTGTCCAAAACGCAGACACGTTCCTCCGAACATGTGGGGCAGGGTGGGTGCCCGCAGGCGGCGGGTGATGCCGTCCCCATCCGGGAGCCCTGCTCCACCCAGTCCCCACCTCCCCACCTCGTGTCCTGGGCTCTGGCCCAAGTGTTCCCAAGACACCAGAGCACAGGCCCTCCTTTCCTTCTCTCCCTTGCCTTCCCGTTCTCCCCCAGCACCCTTGTCTAACAAACTCCTATGCATCCTTCAATGCCCAGATCCATTGATATCAACAACAAAACCCTCTGTCCTGGTCCCCTGAGCAAAATCAATCGTCCCCTCATCTCTGCTCAGTCGCGTGCATGCCACCAGAGCTGACTTTCCTGTTTTCCCTTCTGCTCGCCCAACCAAAGTATGGGCCCCTGAAGGACGGGGCTGGGTCTCCCTCGTCTCTGTGCCCGCTGGTCAGGCTGAATGAACAGGCTGCAGGAAAGCGGACCTGCCCCGAGTGGCAACGCAGGGAGTCCTCGTGTCTGACCCAGGCGGCCCTACCTGCACTGCGATCACAGACAAGACCTCCACCGAGATGCGGTTAAACTCGTCGAAGCAGCCCCAGGCTCCCGTCTGGGCCAGGCCCTTGTAGATGTTGCCACAGGACTGGAAAGGCCAGATTGGAGGAGCGAGGAAGAGACCCGGTCAGTGGCGCGTCTAGAGCTCACCCGGGGCGTGCGGACTGCGGCCTCCC